TTCTGTATCCCTAGGCATGAAGAATCGGGGTTTCTCCAAGGAAGTTGTTGTTATAGGCCAGCCTCGTTCTATGATGGGGCACTGGATTTCTTGAAATCTATATTGTGCCCCAGGTAGCAATTCAGAGGCACTCCTAGGCTGAGACTTCATTGTACAAAGGTCTGGACACTATGAATGTTCTGTGAGGGTACTGGTTTTCTAAAATCAGACTTAAGGGGGAAATATAGATGTTAATTGAGAAATTTTTGCTTCACTGTTGGATTAGCTCTAGAGCTACCTGAAATTCAGTTGGTGGGTTATTACTCATTATCCTATGACACTGAAAGTCAAGACTGAAGCATGTCTGTTTTGTTTCATCTATCCTGGAGCCTTAGCTTCTCTGATAACTGGAATAACAGACATGCCACTGTGCCCACTTTGCCACAATGTACTACTTCTTGCTTGAATCACTGCTTTACTTTATCAAGTGTCTTCATTCCTTAGTTCCCATCCTCCTCCTCAAATTCTCAACCAGAGTGAACATTCCTGAAGACAAATAGGTTTGTGCCACTCCACTGATTAAAATCCTAAGCACCATAATGCCTTAAGTGTAAAATGTAAACTTCTTAATATGGATTTGATGTCTCTATAATCTGCATTCCTGCTTCTTTCTTTGCATTATCCAGCCACACATCCTTAGCTTTTTTTTTAAATTAGTTAATTTTTTTTTTGAGAGAGAGAGAATTTTAATATTTATTTTTAGTTTTTGGCAGACACAACATCTTTATTTGTATGTGGTGCTGAGGATTGAACCCAGGCCACACGCATGGCAGGCAAGCGCGCTACCGCTTGAGCCACATCCCCAGCCCCATCCTTAGCTTTTTGTAGTTAGTTCCCAGAACCTTCCTAGCATTCTCTGACCTTTGCATTTTAGGAATTTTTTATTTGGAATATACTTTCCCCAGTTAATTCTGAGCAATTGATCCTTCAAAGCTCAGAATAAGTGTCATTTCTTTTCCCTACAAGACTAAGATTCCTTTCCATGTTCCCTCAACTGTATCCCTGTCATAGCTCCCACTACTTTGTATTTTAATTATTTTCATGGATGTTATTAATTACTAATATTATTAGTGCTTATTATAAATTTTCCCTCTTAGTTCATGGGTTTGCTCATGGTCTGAAACTGGCCTTTCATCTCTTTATTCTTAGTAAAGATTTCACCACATAGGAGGTACCCCCCAAATATTTAAATATTGAATCCCTTCATCTTATGGTTGAGAAACCAAGGCCTACAGAGATAAGCCACCTTGCAAGAGATTATATATAAAAGGGCAGAACTTACCTTTTGATCAAGTGTTGGTTTCCCTTTATCAGGAATTACTGACTCAGATGTGTTTATAAGATTCAAATAGGTAATAAAAATGTGAAAAGTGAACTCTTCTTATCCTCTTCATTTTTTCTGGAACACATGACTCTCCTACAATGTTTTACCATGTATAAAAAATGTTTTGGTATAAGTAATTCTTTATTTTCCTCTTAAACTACCACATAAGAAAAACAATAGTATGAAAATGGCTCTATTGTGTGATGAATTATAGAAGATTCAAGGATCAAATATACTTTCTCTCTGCTACCACAGGACTTTATATATACATAAATGTGTCTTTGCTTTGTGGTATGGTGCTGGGTATTGAACTTAGGGCTTCCTACATATTAGGCAGATATTCTACAGTAGTAGAGCTACATCCCCAGCCCAGATATCGCATTTCGTATGGCATGGTTTCGGTCTTTGGGTTCATGCCCTTGTGTGATACTCAAAACATTCTGACTGTTCCAGTTACATCTCTAATCATTGAACCTCTTCCCTCAATTTTGCACACGTTCATATATTAAACTTCAACTTTACTGAATTATATTTCCCCAACATGCCTTTTTTAATGCTTCCCCATCTGTCCTTCCTTCCTGCCAACTGTGGTTAAATCAACCTCAATCCCTGGTCTCACTGTCATCCATTCTGTTTGGTGCTAGATAAACCTCAGCACAGAACTCTAAACTCAAGTGCCATTCCTGGGCATAGAATGTTGCATGTACACGCATATGTGTGTGTTTTACCAGAGCACACATAAGCACTTTAGAAGATGGTCATTCAACTGCTCCGTTTAGGACTTACCTAGAATTCTTGCATAAAGTTGGATTCCAGGATTAAATTGTGTAGTTCCTGAATTTTCAGGCAATGACATACTGCCTCTGGTATCAATTTGATTAAACTTGATAACTTTAATGCCATTTGGTTCTATTGGGGAGAAAGAATTTAATTGCTTACTCTAGAGAATGGATTTTTTTCCCCACTGACTAAGGAATAGAACATTTATTAAGATTATCTTTGTGACCTGAAAGGGAGAAATGTACTTCTTTTTCCTTAACAGAAGCACGTCCGGGGCATTTTTAGCTTGTGGTAAAAATTGAATAATTGGGCAATACTGACTTCTTTGGGATTCAGCCTTTTAGCCTCTGCTGTGTGATTAGTTCTGTCCAACCTGCTGGCGTGCTTGAGCAGGGAGCCTGCAGAGGATTAGAAAGGAAAAACCCTTTAGCAAGTCTCAGGTACTAAAGACATTTGATTTAATTTCACATTACACATGGTTATATGGTTTCCCTTGGCAACCTCCAGTTCTGCCCTACTTTATAATCAGAGGATGGCAGGATACATTGCACACTTGTCATCACCTGGAAAGGGAGTGTAGAGAACAAAATTTGTCTCAAAAGAAGAGACAAAAAGGTTACTAAAAAGAACAGAGGAGTCTGATATACCTTCAGAAAGAAACAGATGGTTCTCTGTAGATTTCATTGATGAGAGAGATTCTAGAACTATCTATAGCAGTTTGGGGAGATGAAGGAATGAGACCTAATTCTATAAATCTTTTAAGGGGTAAAAGAGTTATATTTACAAATTAGAGATGAGTTTTCATTTTAACAACAATAATAGTTACCATTTAATAAGTACATGATAGGAATCTTTGGTAATTTCCATACATGATTTCATTGAATTCTCACAATATTCCTGCCAAGGAATTATTAATATCCCTGAATAGATGAAGAAATAATTGTTTATTGATCTCTTAAAGTATGAGGCTGGAGGAAGTGTGAGACAACATGATTTCAGTTTTGGAGACCATTTATTTTTTTCTATCATCTTAAAAATCTTAAAATCCTATCAGTCCTTCCTTCTTTTCTTTCTTCCTTCCTTCCTTCCTTCCCCCCTTCCTCTCCCCCCTCTTTTTGCCAGGGCTCGAACCTAGGGATGCTTAACCATTGAGCCATATCCCCAACACTTTAAAAATCTTGTATTTAGAGACAGGGTCTTACTAAGTTACTTAGGGTCTTGCTAAATTACTGAGGCTAGCTTTGAACTTTTGATCCTCCTGCCTTAATCTCGTGAGCCACTGAGATTACAGGTGTGCACTACCATGCCTGGTTCACAATCCTATCAATCTTAATAGCATTTACTATAAAGCAGTATATTAACTGATGTCTACTAATGATAACATTCAGCCCCTTCAGAAAAGTTTAAATTTTAATAATCTTAGTCCAACTCTATAATTTTACATGTTAGGAAATTGAATTCCAGAAATTAAGTGGAGCGTAAAACTAGGTTTTCTAATTCCTAGTAATCTAGGAGTTGTATATGCCCATACACTTTGAAATAGGGGTTCAATAAATGGAAGGAAATAAGGGGTCTTGTAGTACTTTAAATGGTATTAGGCTGAGGTAGCATGCAGAGTAAAAACAATAAATCAGGCACTGGGAAGAGTTCTCACTTAGCTGGTGATTAGTTCATTCTCCTTGACTCAAGTCTGAACGTATTAATGTACCTCATATTTTCAATGATCACAGGTCTTTAGAAGTGTCTGGTGTTCTTCCAGTCATTTGAGGGAAGACCTGTTTATTGAAAAGGAGAGGGGCTGTACATATGTATCTGTGTGTGTGTGTGTGTGTATGTGTGTGTGTGTGTGTATTGCCATGTCATGAAGTAAATGTGAATGCTAATGACTGGCCATTTTTGTGACCTGTGAAAGCAGAGACTATGGTATTAATATTATTGACTTGTTCACAAGATGCCATACACTGTGGGCAGGCCATGTCATTACCTTTTACTGAAGTGAAAGCTGTGGGAATCTAACGGAAAACTGGGAAATCTCAGTGGCACATATTTACTATGCAAAGCATTTTACATGAATTTTATTTACTCCTTATAACTTCAGTGGTTATAAATGTTATCTTCATTTTTAACAGTTTTTTCAGTTTTTTTTTTTTATTAATCCTTCCTAGAACATTCGCCTAACACTTTATTATGAGAATTTTTAAATGTATAGAAAAGTTTAAAGAATTGTTAACAAACAAACATCCCAAGGCCAATTGGATTCTACAATTGTTACTTTTTTATATATATTTGCTTTATTATATATCTGGCCATCCATTTATCTACCCATAAATCCATCTTAGTTTTTGTTGTATTTCTTAGTGAGTTGCAGACGTTACTACATTTAACTCCTGAACATATAAGTGTGACTATCATGAAGTAGATAGAGTTAAAAATGTTTTCCTTAACTGAACAAACAAAAACAAAAAACTGGAACCTTCAGTTCTGTGTTTTGGGAACTATGTATTCAGTCCCTTTGAGCTTTCTCCCATGAAATAATAAGGTATTTTAAGAAAAAATGTAATCTACCCATGTTAAAAATCACTCATACTTCATTAATGAGAAATAGAAACATGTAAAAGGAGGGGGATACCCCTGAATTCATAGGCCACAGCAGCTCAGCACTGCAAAGAAATCTTACCCCATTTCTGATTTTAAACAAGACTGAGGTCACTGCAAAATTTTTAAACTCAACTCCTCTCCTAACAAGGGAAGTTAGATTAGCAAATTAGTTAAGCACTTCAGTAATGATATTGGAACTTAATTTCACTGAACTTTTCCCCTTTTCTCTTCTTTCTGGGTGTGACTAAATTGCCTACAGCATGCTGCATGGTTGCTGGTAAAACAGGAAATGGGGTAAGTAATTTAGGTAGGGAGTTTTTAACCACCGTTTAAATACAAGCTATCTAATTCTTAAATACTTTTACTGCTCTGCCTCTCTCTCTCTCTCTTTCTTTAAGAGTGGGAAATTGGCACAAAGAAGCAATTTTTTATTATATCAACCTTATTTAGTTAGTTTACTTGCATAGCCTATTAGTAATCTATTAAAGTAGGTTTATTTTTTGTATGTGTATATTAATGTGAATGTATATACATAAATACATATTTTATATGTATTAGGCACTTATGTAATTTGGGAAATTAAAATAATAACTTTTATGTTGGTCTTAGAAAATAAATTATAAAACTAGGACATAAAAAATAAATTGTAAAATTCTAGCTAAGTCAGAATGAATTTATACACTGCTAACACATAGAAAACATAAATGTACAGCCTTTTTTTAAAAAAGTTTTTGTAGTTGTAGATAGACACAGTATCTTTATTTATTTTTATACGGTACTGAGGAACGAACCCAGTGCCTCACACGTGCAAGGTAGGCACTCCACCACTGAGCTATAGCCCCAGCCCTGTACAGTCTTTTTTTGAAATTCTTAGAGACCAAATGTATTGGAGTTTTAGAATTTTTGGATATTAGGGAGGAAATTCAGTGCTAAATATAATATATAATACACTCCTTTCTTGGGGTGGTACTATATAATCAAACATTAATATTTCTTCAATAAACAAGAATATTCACACTAAGCTTGGTAAGCAAAGTAAATAGTCTTGTGTTCCAGTTGGAATGTGATTGCCAACTGAGTGGGTTTGTTTGTTTGTGTTTTTTAATGATATTGGGGATTGAACCCAGAGCCTCATACATTCTAGGCTAGGGCTCTACCACTGAGCTACATACTTAGTCCCTTTTAAGTTTTAAAATTTGAGACAATTTTCTCCATTGGACTAACTAAGATGCTCTAAATATATTTCAAAGTATTGTGAAGGATTTAAAAAACAATTTTCTTAAATATGTAATGAATAATGTTTTAACTCATTTTTAGGATTGACTTAAATTACTGCAACCCTTTGCACTTTAAATAATTGGAATCTAAATAATTTTTAAAATAGCCATTCTTGTGTTTTTGTTACATATTTTATCCTTTAAATTGTATTCTTAAAAATGTATCCACACACATTAATTACACACTTTCAGCTGTGATGTTAGTTTATGTATATATCATTAAACTGTTGATACAGTATCAAGATAGTCTTTTAAATGCCTGAATGTTTTTGATATTCAAAGAATTAGAAACAGTTTGTGAAGCTTCATATTTGAATAAATCCTTGAATGTAGAGGAGTAATTTGATTAATTGTCATAGGGCTTATCTGGGTATTTAAACCATAATCCCAAAGCATATTAAAACATTTCTGTAACCAGTTAGAATCTCTGCTAGGTACAGAATGAGTAGATAGATTATTTTTTAATTTGTATTTTTAGAAAACAGTGGTGTCTTTATATTCTTCCCCCACCCTGATAAATTCAGTTTAACCATTAGCTAAATTACTTTTGTTTCCTACCTGCAGTTAGTAATGTCTTTAATTCTTACAGAATTAAAATACAATGGATATTGCAATGGATATAAATCTAATTTTTATCACTGAAAATTAGACATTAAAAGGGATGATTCACAAGTTCCTCTGAACATCTCTTTTGACTCATGAGTCAATTTGGGGGGAATGTGAAGTTTTTTTTCAGACAAGAATCTGGAAGTACATTGATGAGCATTTCAGAACATTAATACTTCAGGATTTAATATTTTCAGTAGCAAAGAAAAATAGGAGAGATTTTACATTGATTTCCCAAAATTAAGTCCCATTTTTAGCAAGACAGAAGATGCAAGCTTTTTTGTTTTTGTTTTTGTTTTAGTACTGAGGATTGAACACAGGGTACTTTATCACTAAGTCATATCCCCAGTCCCTTTTTTAAATTTTGAGACAGAGTCTCGCTAAGTCACTCAGGGCCTCACTAAATTGCTGAGGCTGGCCTAGAACTTGAAATCCTTCTGCCTCAACTTCCCAAGTCTCTGGGATCACAAGTGTTAACCTCCATGCCTAGCTAGATGCAAGTATTTTTAAACAGGGATATGAGCAGTAAACAATCATCTCTTTTCTACCTTTCCAGAATGTATAAATCCTAGAATCTGGCAATTCCAGCCCAGAAAAACAGATTAGTGTACTTTTGTCAATAAAGCTTTAAAAATTGCTTCCTTTATTTCACTAGAATATAGTTGCATGAGGTAAGGAATTTTTGTTCACTTTATTCTCTGCTTTCTATATAATGTGTAATATAGTAAGTATAATTATATAAATACTTGCCTTTAACAGAAAAAGTGAAGTTTTTGATGTCAGTGAATTATTTTTTATTTCTCAGAAAACAGAGTCTGTCACTGGGAAGAAATGATATAGTTCAGCTAAAAGAAGCCTACAAATGGATAACATACCCCCTGTTTTCAGAGGAACTGGGTGTTCCCATTGATGGAAAGGTATCGGGGTCATCAGCATTGTTAATTTCATTCTGTGGTTTTATTAGTTTTACTTTATTCTGTGGCAGGGTTTGGATTAGCCAGAGGAATTTTCTGCTTAAATAATTCAGTAAAGGATTTCCAAGCTTTTAAAAATGTTGATTTCTAACAGTCATACATTGAAGATAAAGCCTCTTTTGTTTTTATTCCCTAAAGAGTTCTTTGTGATCCAAGACACTTATGAGTATAACAAGTAATATGTACCTTAATTGACCTTAAAAAGTTAGAAATGAATCTTTTCCTCTGATGTATTCATAGTTTCATGGGAGTGGGGCAGATTTACTGATATTAAGCAATATATAAATAACTGACAAGTACTGAGTCAACTCTAGACTATTTAATTTTGGTTAATCTGTGGCTAATATTGTCTCCAAATATACAGGCAGTACTGATTCAACTATAGTGAGCTTGGGCTCAATCTATCCCACTTTGTTGGCATTCAGTTCCTTCTGTTTATTTTGAGACAGAGGCTGCTTTTGAATTGAGAGCCCTTTGTCACCTTTCTGATAATTTCAGAGAAGACTGCCTCAATCTCTGGAATACTGAATTTCAGAGAAGAGCCTGATAGGTTTCTGGATGTGAAAACAGAACATATTCCTAGCTCATCTTAAATTAGATTTTAATAGTATGGCTTTATTGCATCATCATTTTGCTTGAAGGAAATTCCTGGAATATCAGATACACCCCTATTCAGATAAAATCACAAAACCATCTTACAAAGCTAGTTTTTTTTTTAAAAAAAATCCTAAATTATATACTGTTTATGCTTCTATTAGAACACATATGACTGTCCTTTAAACTGAATACTGAGAGAACAGAAAATAAAACCATAAATAGTATGAAGAGGAAATGAGATAAAGAGAAGTCATGAATGCAAAATATTTTTACCTCGAATTTCAGTTTGGGAGCACAAATACTTTTACATGTTGAATCAGTGAAAACAGAAAATAAAAAACAAAAGATGTAATAATGTTTTAATAGAGTCAGACTGAGTGAAATTTTCTTTAATAGAAAACGTGGTTCAATTTAATTTTATTTGGATAAGGAGCAAAAAAAGTTCTTTCATTATTGTAATTCTAGAGTAACTAATAGGCTTATTAGCAATCCAATGAACTTAGTACATATAGAAATCAGTAAATACAGAACTAAATAAAAAACAAGAAATTGTAACTCAGTAAAAAAGACAAATTGTAACAAAGTATAACATATCTTTTTTAATGTGAAATTTTATATATTCTCTGTGGAGATAAAAGTATATAGAATATGAAATTGTGCTGTTTTATGTACAAGATGTGCATGTAAAAGAATATAGCATTTTTTAAATTTTAGAATAATTTTCTATAACTTAAATGTCTGACACTTAAAATTCAAAAATGTTTATGAAAAATAGATTAAATAAAGCAATTTTCCAAAAGCATGTTTAATATTTTAAAATGTACATATATATGTTTATATTCACAAATATGTCTAGAAACAAATTAAATTGTTAATAGTTCTATTTCTGTGGAGTGGAAGTGAAAAACCATCCTGTATTTGATTATTTTATAATTTGTAGGTGTTACTTTTGTAACAATACAAAAAAATTAAGATCTATCTATCTCAAATCCATTAGAAATTTGAGCACTTAAAATATGCTTCATAGAAGGGCTGGGGATATAGCTCTGTTGGTAGAGTGCTTGTCTTGCATGCACAAGGCCTTGGGTTCAATCCCCAGCCCCACACACACACAAACACACACACACACATACAATATATATATATGTATGTATATATATACACACACACACACACTCTCTCTCTATATATATATCCACATACATATATATGTATACTTCATACAGAATTTTTAAAGATGCAAATAAAATGTGTTTTGCCCTATTAATAATTCTAATCATAGTATTGACAGAATAAGTTGTTTCTTTTAGTTATTCTCTCTTTCTGGTTCCCTGAATTCTGATTGAATTCCGATTCATCTTTGTACCTAGTTTGTATATTTGTCTAAAAAATTACACAAATTTGTTTTGATTTTACTTTAAAACTTTCTTGGTAGTATCTCTAGTGACTGAGGTTTACAAGTTTAAAAAAAAAAAAAGAACAACAACAAAAATACAATCTAAAATTTTCCTTTACAGCTGCCCTGTGAACAAGCTGATTTGAGAGTAGTAGTAATATTTCTAGTTTTCCTTGTCACTTTTTCTGAGCCAATCTTTGAGAGTTAATTTCTATATCCAGTCATAAGTTGTAAGATGTTAGTTTCCTTTTGCTCATTTTAAAACTGTCTTTATAATTTTTAGAGCTTGTTTGAAGTGAGTGTGGTCTTTGCTCACCCAGAAACAGTTGGGGATTGCCACTTCCTGTAAGTTGCCATGTAAACGACAGTGTCAAATTTTGTAAAATTGTTAATGCTTTTGGTTTTCATTGAAATAGTAATGTTTCTCTTTCTAATTAACATTTCAGAACTTGTCATATTTTAGTACATTAAAAGTGTGCCTTCTAACTTAAGGTTTCTAGGTAAACCAGGGTAGCTCATGTAAGAGATTAATTTTGTCTACTTCTGATATCTTGAGTTTAGCAATCATGTTGTGTAAAATGTATTTAATTGACTTATATCTACCCCCAAATAAACTAATTAACTTTTTATATTCACTTGAATTTTATTTCAGAGGTAAAATTTTACCAGACTGTTTCAAGCCAGCCAAAAATAAGCAGGTAAGGATTCTTTTGAGCTGAATATGAAGGTAACAATAAAATGAAAATGCATTGGAAATGTGGCAACTCTCTTATGCCAAAATTAATCTTTAAATATTTTCATTTGCTACATTTAGTTTTTTCAATTCTTAGCACCTTTGTCTTCATCTGTAAAGTCATTGCACATACATATCCATATTTGTGCCTGCGTCTGGGTTGTTCCACTGTTTCCTTAAATTTAGAACCAGTATTTCAATGATATTATTATTAACCATTTGGGGAAATACAGCTTTCAGATTTTAATCCACCAAATTACACCATCAGGGAAAATCCATGGCAAGTATCAGCAGTGTCCCAAACTTTTGTCTAATACATACTTTCCAGAAATTAGTTTAAAAAAAAATCTAATCTAAGTTATTTTATTTATTAGGATAGTCATAAATTAATACAGATTGAGTGTACCTTATTCAACAGTGCTTAGTTCATAAATGTTTCAGATTTGGAAATTGTTTGAATTTCAGAATATTTGTGTATACTTTACTGGTTAGGCATCCCTAACCTGGAATTTAGATTTTCAGATTAGAGATACTCAACCTTTGTAGATATTTCAGGCCACATTCGCAAAAAGGATATTTTACTCAGATTCTCCTTTGTTGTCTAATGTTAGCTGGTTTTCATGTCAGTGAACAAATTAGTTATCATATTCTTTTAGTTCATATTATGCCAGGATAGGATAGCATGGCATGCTGTTGGGGCAATCTTTCATGCTCCCATTACTTAGCTGGTATTTTGTAGTTAAGCATTCCTACAATTTTACTAACATCCATTTTGTTCTGTGGTTGTTAAAAATAATATGTTTATTTTCAAAGATATCTGGGTCTTTCTTCTTGATTTGACTACTAATTGGCTTATTTAGAACTAGGGGAAGAAGTTAATAACTTGTCAAATACTGTGTATGGAAATAATTAGAAATGCAGAGTAAGTCTAAAGCATTGTCTCCTTACTTTTCTTTTTTTAGAGGGAAACAATCTAAACTTTTTTTTTTTTTTTTTTTTTAGTTGTAGATGGTCAGAATACCTTTGTTTATTTTTATGTAGTGCTAAGGATCGAACCCTGTGCCTCACACATGGTAGGCAAGTGCTCTACCACTGAGCCACAACCCCAGTCCCTCACACCTGGAGCTTTACCATGTTGATTCAATACCTCGAGATTAACAAATGGAATTGAGGTTTGGGGGGAAAAAAATCAAGCAACATTTCCTACAATGTTGTCATTTTTATATTTGAAGAATGCCATATTTTGAGAGGAGTGAGACAGTGCCATCAAAAACACATGTTTTGTTGGTCTGCCTTGTAGTGCAGAAATAGTTCAAATTGAAGAGAAGAGTAGAGGTATACCATTTCAGAACTGACATTATGACTGCTTAAGTTTTACTTATTTTCTTGAAAATAGTAAGTATTTTCCCCTTTATGTATGTAAAATGACATAATTTCTCCAACTATGTTCTGTGTTTCAGCTCTGATTTTTTTTTTTTGTCTAGGTAATAAAATGTCTTTTTAAATTTTCCTTTTACCCTATATAGTCGGTATTCACTAGAATGGCAGTTATGAAAGCTTTGAATAAGATAAAAGAAGAGGATTTCCGCAAGTAAGTAGAAGTATCATGGAATTTTAGAATAAAGGGAATGTTAGAGATAATTCAGATTATCTCTAAGACAAGACTGGATGTATTTCAGGGACCAGGACTGCATTTTAGTCATCTTTATATTCCCAGTTCCTGATATAGTAACTGGCATGTAGTGGTGTTCAGTAAATGTTTGTTAAGCTAATATTTAAATTATGAGTCAAGTCTAACTTCTTTATATTTTAGAAGAGGATATTGAGATCCGAAGAGGAATTGACTTGCTTATGTTTTCAACTGGGTAACAAAGGGTGGACCTCAGGCCCAGTGCCATTTCTATTACTTAACTAATCCTATATGTCCTAGCTTGGCCCATCTCCAGAGGAGGGAGAAGACTGGGGAATTTTCTTACTTGTAATGGGAATAGCACTGACTAGGAAGTCAGGAAACTTGATTTTAATCAAGTCCACTCTGTTTCCCCAGTTGAAATCTTAGGCAAGTCAACCAGCTCTTTGGAAATCAGTGCCCTCTTCTAAAATATAAATTGTTAAAATATGCTAAAATACAATAAACCTTACATTATAATTCTCAGTGTATTTATAAATAAAATATTATTGTGGTTATTCTTCCAGAAGATACTTGAATAAATTTCAAGCAATGATATTATAAGGAGGGTTTTATATCTCTGACAGAGTCTCAGAATGGAAAATATTTTTATTAAATTTTAGAGAGTAAATTTTACTTTATACACAGGAAATTTCCAAACCATGCATTTGGGGTTAAATCTATATCTTATTTACAGGTAGTTTCCAGTTTTGAACTTGCAAATTTCTAGACGATGGATAGAGAATAAAGCTATATGTTGTTTTTTCCTGTCTGTCCTCAGTAGGTTTAAAGTTTCTTAGCTAAGAGGACAGTGTCAACCACATCCCCCCCCCCCCATGTAATCTAATTCCCAAGGTCGTATTTGGAATGAGAAGAAAGCAAAAGGAAAAGTGGTCAAGCGCCCTCCCCGACAGTTGGGACTTATTTCCCACAGGTGGGATGCACTTCGTAAGTGGGACCACTTACTGCATATTAGCTTTATCCAAATAACTGAGTATCATGTAGGTAAGCCAGCAGCAAGTGACAGGGAGAGCAAAACGATTGAAGAGCCTGGAGAGGCTTCCACTTCATAGATATGGATTCCCCCATCCCCAAATCTCAAGGCTGTGAAATTCATTTGGGAAAATGAGACCTCCTGAGCATAAAAGGTAGCATCAGAACTCTCATAAACTTAGTGCCACTCTCATAAATTAGAAGTGTTACTCCAGAGGCCTAAAATAACTTTATTGTTTCAAAACTAAAAGTTAGGGAGAGGTGTATAGTCCTTGAGAACCTCAGGTTCTGTTTGTGTCTCAGACAATGCTGATTCATCTTAGTTTTGTAATTCAATATCATGTCTGGAAAATAGTAGCTGTAAAATTTATTTTGTTTTACAGGCAGTTTCCTTGTCCTCCAAACTCACCAAAGGCTGTTTGCACTGTTCTTGAAATTGAATGTGCTCATGGTGCTGTTTTTGTGGCTGGTAAAATATTTTGTCTAGAATATATGTATACCGTCAACCTACTGTTGTCCTTTCTGAACAACTCAGTTGACTCCTTTTCTGTTTTATTTTTATTGTTGTTATGATGTTCTGGTTAGTTTACTCTTTTGATATGTAACACTAATACCCAATCTTTTTTTTAGATTCTGTAGGCTGTCCTAAAGATCCTTAGGGAATATAGTTTAAAAAAATCCTTAGGAGAGCTGTTATTTCAAATGTTATGCCAAATGGAAGTGACAACTTTCCAGGTTTTAGTAGTTTACATCATAGGTGGGTAGAAATATAGACAGATGTGGAGACCCAAAGTGATCAAAGACTACAGCACTGAAGATATTTTATAACATGGAAAGCAAACTTGAAAAAATGATATTATTATGTCCAAATGACCAAACATTTGGCCTTCACCTGAAAAAATAATTGTTGTATTGACTTTCCCGAGTGGTTAGATAGCAGACAGTTTTAACTGCTTCGATGATTCACACCTATATTCCCACATACTCAGGAGGCTAAGGCAGGAGGATCACAAATTCAAGGCCTACCTGGGCAACTTAGTGAGATCCTGTCTCAAAATAAAAAGTAGAAAGGACTGCAGATGTAGCTCAGTGTTAGAGTACCCCTGGGTTACATCTCCAGTACCGAGAAAAAAGGAAGAAAGAAAGAGAGAAAAAGAGAAAGTCAGTCAGTTATAGCTCCTTCATAGTAATAGGTGAAATGAAATTGCTCTTAGCCTGCCCTAGGGCAGTAAAATCTACCGGCTTAGTATACCTTTATTCATAAAACAGTGAGTCATACTCTGTTGGGGTGTTTTGTTTTTTGTTTTAACTTAGAAAAACTTCAAAATTTCCTATATTTGAGTTCTTTGGAATATGTTGTCACCAGTGACTATTACTTTGAAAGTATTATTAGTCACATATAAAAGCAATAATTTTTCTTTTCTTAATGATCCTTGGTATGTTCCATAATATTATATAACTTGTTCAATCAGCCAGTCATATTATAAAATATATTGAGCATTCCTTTCAAACTTACTTAATACACCATTCATATCATGTCTTTAGCCGTCTACTCTATTGTTACTTTAAATATTTTTAATTATCTTCATTTCTGTGTGCTGGCCCCCCAATACATGGAAAACAAGTGAATTAGTTAAAGGCTAGGCCTTGTTCTGCATCATAGTACCTAGAATATTGGCACTCAGTAAGTAGTTGTTGCTTCTCTTTATCCTATTGTGTTCATCACACTGTTCCATTGAGGCTACCTGATATTTCTTTGGCAGGGAGATACAATAAATATTCCAGGAATCTACCACAAACTCCTTGGATAATTGATGGAGAAAGGAAGCTGGAATCTTCAGTGGAAGAATTAATTTCAGATCATCTGCTGACAGTATTCAAAGCAGAGAGTAAGTGTTATGATATTATTATTTTAAACACATTGTTATTTATGAATAGATTTCTTGGGAGCGGCAGGAAAGATTTCTAAATTTTATTTATCATTACCGGGTCTGGTCCTCTTGGCTCTGGGCTTCCCATGAACAGGGATTGTTATGTCCAGGGCTCTTCCTTCTCAAAATCACTGCTCCCTTCTGGGAAACTCAAAACAGATGAAACTACTTTTCAATGAATGCAGTTAAGCCCTGGCCTCAGCATACCTTAGCCTTAGCTTCTTTTGGGGAATATGAGGAAATTAAAACACAGCTTCCACATCCAGTGCTTGTTCAAGAGTTGTCATTGGCAAATATCTGGCTTCTATATTAACCTATAAAGTATGTTGTGATGAAGTTGAGGCCTTGAGAAAATAGATCAACAGTAGCCATTTTACAAGGACTTCATGGCAGTGTATTGTTTTAATTTCTTAAATATTAGTGTACCCAAAGTGTGTGGAATGAGTCAGATCCTGTTAGGCTTATGTTATCCTTGTCTCAACAAGTCTGTCAGGTCAAAGGCAGCATGAAGTCCTGTGATTTCACCCTGGGGTTAGATAAGAGAACAAGGAGTAAGATTTCAATCACAGGAAATCATGTTACATGTCAGGAAAAACTGCAGGCAATGAGTTATGTCACTTTTTAGAATGTAACTTTTTAGAATGGGGCTCCTAGCCTGAGTAGAAGACCTTTTTATCAGGAACCAGCTAGATATCTGTTTTTCTCTCTGAAAAATCTTAAGAAGAATGTGCTTTGAGAAGGAAGGCAGATGATCTAGATAAGGTACAGTTGTCCCTTCTAGCTCTAATTTGTTAAGAAGAAAATGAAGCATTTCAAACCATATCCTTCTTATAATTTGTTGCCTGTCAGGTTGGTTGGGCACCTTCCTTTTTTTTTAAGGCTCTTTAAGAATTTTTTTACTGAATGGAGAAGAAAGTATCCCAGTGATCTAATATTTTCCAAAATCTTAGGAGTAAAAAACTCTGGGCTATTGCCATAAGCTTTTACCTATTAATTTAATATTTACAACTGGTTATCTCATAAGATTTACAAAGTAATGAAAAAGTGAAAATAAAACTTAGCATTAAATGTCTTCAACACTTTTGAGAGCTACCTTATTCCCTTTCTGTAAAAAGATTTAAGAAATCTTCAGTTCTAATTACTTAGGTCCCAAGGAAACCTCTGTCATCCTTAGGGCTGTTGGAGAGCTCTGAAACAGCTGTGCTTTCCCCCCTCAGTTTTTATGAAGGTGATTTGTTGTCATTTTCTATTTGAAGGAGGAACTATTACCCCCAGACTGAAAGTAAAGCGAATTGTGTGTTCAGAGTGTTGAAGAACTTTATTAAGAGCCATATGAGAAAAAGCAGACCTCTGGACCTCTGTGCTGATGGCTCCTTGTTAGGGGATAAAACCTTGTTGATTGAAATCCCTGATAAATAGCATCAGTTTTCTAAATTAATCAATTTCTAAGCTATATTACCTGTTTTTTCTGATTAATGGTTCATATCTGAAAAGATGATTCTAATTGTTGTAACCCTAAGTTTTATAGTTCTATGAATTAAACTGGTATTACATGGGGCACCCTAGCTATTCACATGATAGTTCTTACTCCTATGTGGGATACACAAACTTGTTCCTTCACTTCCAACTGGCATGTGCCGTTATCTGCTTGCTAATTCCCTAGGTAATGAGTAATAAATTTTGACATGCTCTTAAATTCAGAGTCTAAGCAGTTTTCCCCAGTACTATACTTATTACCTTACTTATTGAATAAATATTTGTCATGTCAGCTCCCTGCTGAAAACTGGTCAGTGATGAGCTTTAAGATAAAGCTTAGTTTCAAACTATTTAACTTAATGTTCCAAGGCCTTCATTAGCTGGCTTCTGCCTATCTTTCAGTCTTGTCTGTCTGTCCCTGGTTATGAAGACCATTACAGATTAGTTGAACTATTTATAGCTCCTGATCATTTTTGCTATTGATTTTTTTTTAACATTCTTTCCTTTGAGCAGAAGACAAAACCCACAGAATTAGGGGGATAAAGCAAGGCATAATGTGAGTTTAGAAAGCTCAACTAAGTTTTAGTATGTATTTTTTAATTCTTAAGGCAGTGGCTCCCTTTCCTTTTTTGTTAGCTATTATTTCTGATTGTACACTAATAAAGTTTCAGGGTTTGTCTGTACAAGTTTCTCCCAGTCTAGAGTCCAACAATATTTTCTTAGTTCTCAATTTTGAAATATTTTCAAAAAACTATAATATATATACTTCTCCTTTGTTCTGGATTTAATGCTTCTCTGGCCTTCTCAAGAGCCTAGCTTTCTACACATCCTTTCTTCTTGAGTTTGTGGGAAGTGTTATGGGATGACATATGAATCTATAATTTCCGTTCTGAGTTAGCAGTAACTGTTGGACTTATCTCTGAGTCCTGTTCATTCTTTCCACCCCTGCTAGTCTTGAGTTCTGATTCAGTCGCTGTGTACCCCTTGATTCCCTGACATGTATACAGAATCCTACTCCCTGTCTACTTTCTTCACCTGGAAAAGAACCGGACCTCATGCCTCTTAAGGATGCCCACTTGGCCTGACCTCAGGTGTTAGCAAACCGCAGGTCACCTAGACTTCTGAGCCTTGCAAGCAGCTTGAATTGTAGACCTGCCTTTGATATCTAGACCTTATCCAAATAGCTGCAGGTTGAACGCACAGCTTTGGGTCTTGTGGGTCAGGAGAAATCCACTTTACCAGGTGCTACATGGCACATACAACAGCCCAGAGCCTGTTTCCAAAAAGGTGTTGGCCTTGGATGGCTAAAGGAATTTTTTAAAGGGAAGGGAAGAAAAAACTCTTACTTTCTGTATAGCTAAACATCCCAGAAAGGAGGGCTAATCTTCATTGTTGTTTTCATGGGACTTTTTAAACTTCTGGCTTCTGTTTTCTTTTTTTTCTCTTTTTAAAAGACAGGGTATCCCTATGTTGCCTAGATTCAAGAGATCCTCCTGCCTCTACTTCCTGAAAGCTGGGCTTATAGAAAATTACCATTAACTTTCCTTTTTCTAAAATTTGCATGAAAACTTTGCATATAAAATCCTTCCTGAGAGAAAATGCTTATCAAAATGATATAGTCCTGCATATCTTGTCCCTCTCCTGTTCTCAGGAGGCCCAGGTTGCTTGCCATTCAAGTGCTGGAAGATCCTTAGGGAGAACACCAGGTACCCTGAAAGCTAGTGAGTGGACCCTCAAGAGAAAGAAGCCCGCAAAGTAGTCCTTTGCTTAAAAGGAAAAGTGAGAACTATGCAACGATAGATGAGTAGATATGCAAATAATACCAAAAGCATGGAAACAAACCATCCTAAACAGCCCATAATGCTTTAGCAACTGACTCCATTGATTCTGCAGTGGAGGAAATGTTAGTGAAGGAAGTCAGAAAAATTCATAGTTAAAATGTTATATGAGCTAAAATAAAGTATATAAGGTATGAAGTCAGAGGGAAAATACAGGTAGTGAATGATCATTTCAATAAAGAGGTTAAGATTCTGAAAAAGAACCAAATGGAAATCCTGGAAATGAAAGAATAAATAAACCAAATTAAAAATTCTATGGAAATTATCACAAATTGATTAGAACACTTTGAAGATAGATTTCCAGGACTTGAAGACAAAGTATATGATTTGAAAATAAAGTCAACCATAAAGAAAAGATATTACTAGACCATGAAAATATTCAGGAAATCTGGGATAACATTAAAAGACCAAATTTAAGATTCGTTGAGGGCTGGGGTTGTGGCTCAGTGGTAGAGCACTCGCCTTGCATGTGTAAAGCCCTAGATTTGATCCTCAACACCACATAAAAATAAATGAAGGTATCATGTTGATCTATAACTACAACAATATTATTAAAAAATTCATTGGGATAGGTAAAGCTCTGAAATATAAGTTAAAGAAATGTACAATCTTTTCAATGAAATAATATCAGAAAAATTTCCAAACCTTAAGAATGAGATGGAAATTCAAATACAAGAGGCATATAGGACTCCAAATATATAAAATTACAATAGATCCATTTTAACCATTTCAAGGCACATTATAATGAAAATGCCTAACACAGAAAATAAGGTTAGAATTTTAAAGCTGCAAGAGAAAAATGACTGGTCACATTTACAGATAACCCAACTCAGAGGATTTCAAGTGATTTCTCAACCAAGACACTAAAAGTGAGGAGGGCTTGGGATAATATATACCAAGATCTGAAAGAAAATGGATACCAACCAAGAATACTAAACCTAGAAAAACTAAGCTTCAGAATTGAAAATGAAATAAAAACCTTCCATGATAAACAGAAGCTAAAAGAATTTAGAGCTAGAATACCTACACTATAAAACATACTTGATAAAATATTTCATGAAGAAGAAATGAAAAATAAAAATGAAAATCAGAATAGGGAGGAGTTACACTAGAAGAGTAGTCAATTAAAGTGAATAAAATGCAATTTAAATGGAAGAAATAAAATGGCAGGAAAAAAATAATCTCAATAATAACATTGAATATAAATGGTCTGAACTTTTCAGTTAAAAGACATAGGCTGGCAGGTTAAAAAACAAGACCCAACAATATGCTTTCTAAGAGACTCACCTCATAAGCAAAGACATTCCCAGACTGAAGGTGAAAGGACGGGAAAAAACATACCATGGGACTTTTAAACATGCAATGTTAACTAGTCTTATATCAGATAAAGTAGACTTCAAGCCAAGATTAATCCGAAGAGACAAAGATTACTTCATAATGCATAAGGGATAAATAATACATCAACAAGATATAATGATTGTAAATATTTATGCCCCAAACAATGGAGTATCTATGTACATCACAAAAACCCTTCTTCATATGAAGAATCAAACAGACCATAATACAGTAACACTGTGTGACTTTAACATACCTCTCTCACAACTGGATAGATCATCCAATTAAAAACTAAGTAAATACTCTACA